CTGCAGGTGTGGGGTGGATATCACGACCAGTATGGTTCCACTTTTGAACACCGCGCCGGGGCTGTAGTGTTTAAGAGACGTGGTTCCTGTGGCTGAGGGTGCCGGTTCGAGGCCGTGCGTGTGCAGCGGGGCCTCACATCTGACCAAGTCCCTCGCATCACGGCCTTCCTGGCCAGGGGTCGCCATAAATCCTGGCCCCCCTCTGTGCTCTGAGGTCTGGTCAAGTAGTATGGCCTTCCAGTCCCACCTCCAGCCCGGTTCCCCTGTTAACCATCTCCAGTCCTATCCCACCATCTCTATACAAGGACTGATCCGGGGCAGGAGCGGAATAAGTACTTGATTTTCTGTCTGATCTTTCACTGTGGGAAGTTACTTGGGCAGTTTATGCACCAGGGGGTAAGAAACCTTTCTCGCTCGAGACGCGAGTGGTCTTCTATCGACACCCTTCCTCCCCCTTTCCCTCCCCCCTCTCTTTCTCAACACTCCTTGTTCCCGTCTTAAGTCTTGAAGTGAGCCGTCTGTCCCTCAGCGGAGTTGTCAAAGGTTCTTTTTTCTTTTTTTTTTAACAGAACCTTATGGCTCTGGCTCCTTTCCATTCTGGGGAGCGTCCGTCCGGTTCCTATTCCATCTGCAAGTCAAATTTGAAATTTCACGTAGCGGAACTCACCCACACCCCTCCCGGCAACGGTAGGGAGGTCCGAGTAGACGGCATTGATTTCTTCCATTGGAGACAGCGATTCAGATTTCTGAAATTTCTGAAATGTGCACAACAGTACTTCCTTTTGGGTGAATTGTACACACGTGTAACTGTCGATAATTTCGGCGATAAACATATCATGGGTCAAATCATGATGGATATGACAGTGTGAGGAGCTAACCCCCTTTTTTCATATCCAAACTTTCCAAAGAAAACACAAAAAACAAAAACAACAAGAGTGTTTGAAATCGATTGAAAGCGATTCGGAACTATGCAGTACTATGCAGTACTATGCAGTACTATGCAGAATATGCGCACTATTCCTGTTTGAGCTATGATGTGGACTTTTTTAAGTTTGAACCATCATCCTCAAGAGCAGTTGTACTTAGGCCAGAGGGATGGGGTGTTGTGATGGTGGATTTTTTGTTTGCTTGTCTTTTTGTTTGTTTGTTTTGATGACGAATGGCGTGATGCAGGTATACCTGAGGTTGCTAAGGAGCTCATTTTGTCTTGGAGTGACTCAGTTCTTGCAGAGCGTTGAGCTAGGACGGCCTAGCCTAGCGTCGCAATACAGCAGCTACTATGTAACAAGGGATAAGTTGAAGAAGGTACAATATGTGGACAAGGCAGGTCATCAGCGGCAGCTACGGTAGAACTTGCCTGACAGGGTGTGGGGCGGGGAGCAAAGATTTCTGTTGAGGGTCTCTGAGGATTAATACCTCCAGTGCGCTTCAACGCTTCAGCGATGTTCACAGTGTTTCGGTGCTAAGTTTCTCTTCAGGTGAATCGCCGGACAGCGGAAGGGAGAGGAAAGGATGGAAGTCTCCAGAAGGCATTGTAGAGTTGTTAGCCCTCAATGGCTGGTCCCCATGGTCTCAGGCTCCTGACTTCTGCCATCCGCCGCTCCTGTTAACCAGTCTTTCGGAGAGAAAGTAGGGGATATATAGCTTATTGATGCCTGCATGAAAGTTAGATAGCAGATAGGTTTGGGACGAAAATGCGTCCCATCTGAAGTGGAAGTCAAAGTCGTCAAACATCTCTTCATCAGCACATGGGTTGGAAGAAGGCTGAGTGAGGGTGGTGTTGGAGAGAAAGTAGGGGGGGTGAAAGGGGGAGGGGGGGGAAGGTGAAAGGGGCGATGGGGGGAAAGGCAAAAGACAGACCGTTTTCAGCAGGGGAGGAGGGGGGGCGCAGAAAGTGAGAGGTGGAAGGGGAGGGAAAGCCGAAAGAGGTATGGACAGGGCGTTGTCGCCGAATTGTTCTCTCCTTATCAAGAGTTATGCTCCCTCACAAGACACTTAGTGTGTAGACCAATTGCCTAGCAAAGGCATCATTCATCAGATATGGTCACCTCAGCTCAATTGCCATCCAATGCTGGCATCGGAGGAGGATGCCTGCGTCAACTGCTGCAGATGTGGACGGCACAGTCCATGCCATCGCTTCAATACCAGTCTATACAAAATCAACATGATTCCAAGGATATATGTTTGCCGATGCATGGAGCTGGCGACTATGACAGTATGCAGGCTCTACTACTTCTGGTTTGCAACTTTGCACTCGGGCATGCAATAGATTGTGCCATACGTCACGAGTTGTCGCTGCGCGGGTTATATATAGGTTCTTCTTTCAACAGGTTTCTCTGCAGGCTACACTGTGGCTGGCCCTATTGCCAGACTGAGTCAGCATTCCAAGCACTCCTCGTTCTGCACAATCGGCGCTGCGCACCTCATGTGACCAATGACACTACTTCACGAGTATGCAACAGCTCAACGATGATTTCGAGTCTGGACGATTGCTATCAAGCCCAGAGGCAGCAACTTTGGAGATGTACCACCTTTGTGAGTTTTGTACGTGGTCCTTGACGATTCAAATCACGTTGCGGATCAGAGCGCAAGTTCTGGATGATAGATCCTTTTCCATGCGGTCGAGTATCCAGCCACTCGGATGCATCTCCATACATTCACCAATACACGTCATGTACATTGTACTTGGCCTCCGAATAGTAGAGCAAGCTTCGGGAGAGCAAGCTTCGGGAGAGCAAGCTTCGGGAGAGCAAGCTTCGGGAGCTGCATCGGGTAAGAATAACATGCCAGCCTGTAGGTAAGCGGTCGAGCCCTCTGCCCGCTTGCAGCTTCCCTCTCCTTCCGTTGCTCTGCTCACTGGTCTGAGTCATGCCCTGGCTATAGGTAGGCTTTCAAACTCCTGCTGCTGTTCCGTCTACAGTTTGAGCTGCCTACTCAAATGCCTTCAGCCACTCAGCCATACCTCCCGGGAAAAACGGGATTTGAACCCGCGACTTCTGACTCCTCGACCACTTAATTCGCTGAAAGCATGCAGCACTACGAACCACGTTGTAAATGATCAGAGTAAACCCTAACCAATGTACTCATTACCTAATTGCCCCTAATTGCCCCATGGTGCCTAATTGCCTCATTGCCTAATTGCCTCATTGCGCAATCAACTGCCGCTGCATGCACACTATTCTTCTTCACAAGCTCAAAGCTTTCCGTATGAATATTGTCAAATGACCTGACCTGAATGAGGTGCCTCTCGTACGTGCACGAGGTGCCCTCGTATATGAATGAGGTGCCCCTCGTACGTGAATGAGGTGCCCTCTTCCTCACCACCGCATCGAATTATCAGTTGACATCAACAAGAAGCTACCCTTCTTCATCACTTTCCACATCAGCCCCAACCAACATCAAGAAGCGTTGTGCTCTCATCTGGATCCTATCTCCGTGTAAGGTCAGGAAGACATCGGGTTTTTTTTTTTTTTTTTTTTTTTTTTTTTTTTTTTTAAATGAAGACATCGTTTTGTACTACTTGACATCGCAAATTCACTCTGTAAAAATGATATATTATGGTAAAATATTTTGGCCCTGAGTACTTTGTCTTCTTGTACTATTTGTAGACCCGTGTTCCACACGCCGATTGCCGTCCCGAGCAGTAAAATGCAACTCTCTCAGTCAATCTGATGCATTCTGCTCCCTGAGGCAGACGATCACGTTGACGTTCACACGTCAACACAACTTTCTTCTTCTTTTTCACAATTTGTTAATGTTATTTGCACCTCGGTTTTGCGGTTGGTTACTTTTACTTCCGCAAATTTCCGCACCTACACTTGATTTTTCTCCTGAACTTTCGTTTTGCGATGATGTTTTTAATTCTCGTCTCCGCAAGATGGTAATTAGTAATTAGTAATTACTACCAGTGGTTATTTTGCTGCTTTTGTTTTTTTACACTTTGAAGTTTGAAGTCTACTTCTGATATGGTTCCTTTTTTGGAAATCCTTGCATACTCTTTTTAAAAATGTCGGCGAAAAATTATCCTTCCACTTCCGGATGCTTCCAGTCTATTCCAAACACGTTGACACGTCGAGTTCACAAGCTTTGCACTACTGAGTATTGACGCCGCAATGTGAGATAGATTGCGGCGTCAGTAAGTGAGGCAGATTAATCCAAGATTCTAAATTGCGGAGAGAGAGAGAGAGAGAGAGAGAGAGAGAGAGAGAGAGAGAGAGAGAGAGAGAGAGAGAGAGAGAGAGAGAGAGAGAGAGAGAGAGAG